TTTTGGCCAACAAGCAAAACTAACAGCCATCATCGTAAACACAACATCCCAAAGGTTAGATACAATGGTGGCAGCATCATGATGCGGGGATGCTTTTCTTCAGCATCAGGACAGAATAGCTGACTTGCTCATGTGGCTAAAAACCGAGCCTTAAACGTACAATAGGTAAAATAATCAAAGACCAGACCTAACTTTTACTGAGAATCCATGAAAATGTATTTTTATAGGGATTTGCCATCCAGGATAACAGAGCTTGATATACTTTTGCTAAGAAAAATGCTAAAAGGTTCAGTCTGTAAAGCTGATGCAGCTAAAGGACTAATTGCAACAAAAACTGGCTCTGTACAGCGTTATGTCATTTTTCCTCCATTAAACTACAATGCAATACTTTAGCTAGGTCATGACAATAAAATCCCAAGAAAATAAGTAGCTGTATGTTTACATATGCATTCATTTCCAAGTAACTATTCCATAAAAATCCACACCCAAGAAAAACTAAAAGGCAACACTAGACTGGCCATCAAAAAAGTACAAGTATTCACAAGTACTAAACACACTTACCTCTGTGATTCTCTGCAATCACCAGCTTGAAAAAAAAAAAAAAAAACAGCCTCACCCTAAAGTTAAGAAAATACAAAAAAAAACAAAAAACAACATGAGGGCGGAAATCCTCACTGAGTGTTTGTGCAAATTCAATCTGGCAGCACTTTGTAAACAGATGGCTGTCAGGCCAGGAGGATTAGATGAGCCTGAAGGTTACACTTTCACTGATCCAATCTTGCTAGAGCCTCACACACGTCATGATCGACATATACGGCATACTTTATGGATTATCAGTTACCGATTCTTATGTTTCCAGCTCCAGCAGGCATTGAGAGTTCGTCTACAATAACAGATGACCCCAGACATTCACCGTCTTCCGTCAGGTGAGGAGGATTTCTCATACACAGGGATGCAGGTCACTCGTGCCGCTCTGGTCAGTTGTCTAATCCAATTACCTGCAAGCAGCTGCAAGTAATGGGATTGTTAGTAAGGTCACTGTTCTGACCCGATTAGCCTCGACATTCAGCGCTAAACATTGAAAAACACTGACAAACAAATGTTAAGAGACAACTTAAGATCATCTTGATGGTATTTATGGGAATCAAATACGGTGATGCTTAGTGTTTAAATGTGGAAAATGAATGTTGTGGGACAGAGATTGAGAACAAACAAGGAGTTTGTAGGGACAGACAGACAGACCGTCTGCCTGGCCATCTGTTGGAATCAAAGGTCTTCAGGGGAAAAGGCAGGAAAAACTATGGGGAAAAATTAGCTGGAAAATCAGCAAGTTCTCATGTAAAACTTTAGGTAAAAATCCAAAATAGTTGTATGTTAAATAGACAAGTGATCACTAATCAAAACCAGAACAAAACATCACCAAGAAGAAAACAAATTTATGCATCTTTAGTAAAAAAAAAAAATAATAATAATAATAATAATAATAATAATAAAAGTACTAGGATAGAAGGTTGAATGAGAGAAGATTCAAGATTCAACTTTCAGAAAATTAAAGAGACAAATTTTCTTTTTTTTTTTCTTCGTGTGTGTACAAACCTTCTCAAACTGCATTTTCTGATTTTTTTTTTACCCTATTGCAAAATAATGCAACCAGGTAAAAAAAAAAAAAAAAAAAAAAAAGGACTATGCGGTGGGGGGGGGACGGTTTAACCCGGGTAAAAACTTTCCTT